TGAAATAAAATTAAAGTTAGATACTTAAAAGCGTTGAAGATTGGTAAGAATTGTTTGATACTCACCCTTACGCACGAATAAGGGCATTGAATTTTAGTCCCACATCGAATCGGAGGATCACTATAATAAATTGTTAGCTGCATTCAGGCAATAATAAATAGTAAAATGATATAAAGAAAATCAAATACATAATAACATACCGGGTTGTACGTCCGCAATGACATGTCAATTCTTCAAATGAGGCCTCTGTTAAACAAGATCATGTTATATCATATCAAAAAATCTATAATTCTCATTATCTATGAAACCAAAAAAAAAAAACACAAACCATAGCAAGGTTTACAACGTCCCTTGTGGCATAATAGTTGACATGTGTGCTATTTATTGTTATTTGAAAGTTAGTTAAGGCATTTATAAAATTAATAGACCATATATATGTGTATGATTTACCTTCCCACATTGTAAGCTCTTCCCGCATACTAAAACACATTGATGATTAACATCATATTCCTCCTCTTGCGAAGCACTACCTCTACTTTTTGAAGATTTCTTGTTAGCTGATGGACAACAACGTACACTACATTGATGCTTGCCACAAGTTCTAAGGCCTCTGCATATTCTATCACATATTAATTCTTCGTGGCTGTCCGAAACCTCAGAACAGACACGCTCGAACGTTTTACTGCCACACCGGCACTTTGCTTGTACGATAGCCGTACAAGGCTTACAATTCCCATGATGACATGTATCTTGACATTTATGACCACATGGAAGTGTTTTCGAACAAATGTTATTACAAAGTGGAATTTCTTCAATGCAAGACGTTCGCTTATGACCAAGAAGTGACTCTATAGTATTTGCACCACAAGGGCAGTTATGAACATGTGAAGGACTCAATTCGCAAGGTTCAGGTTCATCCATCACTGGATGACATAATTTCATGCACGAATGATGACCGCATTCTAACAAGCGATTACACCTTTCTTTGCATGAGAAGAACCCAGTCCAAACCTGTAATGATTTTCCAGATTCTCCACCACAACAACGGATAGCTATCCCTTCACCACATGTCGCCTCTCGTTCCGTCTGTCCACAGTAACATTTTTGTATCTCGATTACTTCGCATCGCGTACAATCGTCTGGATGACATTGCTTTTTGCAATAATGTTTGCCACATCCCAATAAATTTCCACAAACTGATTCGCACGATTTACCACCAGAATGATCGACTTCGATACAACGAAGTTGATACGTCTGGCGACCACAAAAACAGTGCTGAATAGGGCCCATGGCCGAACAAGGAGGGCATGGCCCCGGATGGCACGGCCTATTTTGATTTAAATTGTTAATTAATATTCAATTAGCGAATTTGATTGCCATAAGTTTAAATACGAGCACTTACTGAGTACAATCATGTGAACAGTCTCTACTTTTTCTGCAAACATTACCACAACTATGAGGAGTTAAATATCGCGTAAATTGAGGGTTTTCTATTTTACCTATATAAAATTATTGTTATTAAATTTATATTAGAATAATACAGCGAACATATTGATTGATGTCCAATTTAGCATCCTACGTATTTCTTAACTATTGCATACCACAGAAGCACTTGTACACCTCAGGAATACTCTCAGATTTGTTTTGACATCCAGGACAGCGCCATGAACCAGCATTATCGAAGGACTTTTGAGCCCACTTTTGTGTACACTGAAAATGAAATACTGCCCAACAAACTCCACAAGACCATGTCTTATTACTGGGTCGTATAACTTCACAACAAATCATACATTCATAAGTGGATGTAGTTAAACCATAAGTTATCGAGGTTGACACATCTTTAATTTCATCAAGGGAAAGCTTAGAAACGGAGGATTTCTTTGAATGTGTAGAAGTTCGAGAATTTCTTGAACCATAATTTGATAAAGTTGAAGAATCTCTGAGAACTGCTAATCCCTTGCCTTTGGGATCAGAAACATACTTTGATTCATTGTTCGTATTTTTGTGTCGAGAATTATCCTGTCGTAATTCATTAATGTCATTAACATTTCTGCTATTACCCGCATCTTTTTGATTGTCGTTTGATATTGGTTGATGACCAGCCCTGTTAGAGCGTTTTTTTCTACCACGATTAAAACGAGACCCACCACGATTTGAAGTGTGCTTATTTTCTTGCCCATCGTTGGTTTGCAAAATTGGAGTAGGATTAGTACTTGACTCTTCATTGCTTTGATTACTCTGGGAATGATTATTTCGAAAAGAGCCTCTACCGCCCCGCGAGTTACCTCGCCCACGATAACGCCCTCTACCTCCATTATATCTTGATCTATTTGAACCGTGACTTGTACTATTATTAGTTGATCCTGCAAATGGATTTGTAACAAAGTTATTGTCGTTTTGTTGGTCAGAAAGAACCTGCTGGCTCGACATTGCAAAAGATCCGTCTTCTACGGTAACTGTGTCCCTAGTTAAGTTATAATCAAAGTTGTTCTAAAT